CCACCCACCCTGCAGGCACTTGAGCAGGCCCTCCACCCTCTCTGGGCCGATGCAATATGGGCCGCCAGAGCAAACCAACCCTGGGGCAAAAAAACACGCAACACTTGGACGCCACTTAAAAGTGTCCCACAGTCCATATAATGGGGCCGTCACGGCTTCCGCTGGGATTCTCGGGGGGTGAGGAGTGGATGCAGTTAACAACAGCGCCTGCCCCCTCCCCCCCGCACAACCCACATAATGGGGCTGTCACCCAGTGTCAGCTCAGTATTGCGCAGCTCGGCTTGCGGAAGCCCAGTTGCGGTCACGGCTGCCGCGTTCTGCAGCTTCAGGTCTGCTTCGTTCACAACATCGTGACCACAGCCAGCTGCTGCTTCGTTAGATGTGGATTGGCTCCATGAGCAAAAATAAAACACGGTTCAACTTCTGCCATGCTTGCAATAAAACATTTACAAGGTAAAACTGGAGCAGAATGGCATTTACGATCAAATACTGCGGAATGTCAGTAACGGGGTTGGAGGAATCTTCTTCCTAAATGCGCCAGGAGGGACTGGCAAAACGTTCCTACTACGACCGATTCTGCCGACAGTTCGACTCAATAAATGACATAGCCCTAGCAATTGCATCCCCGGAATAACTGCAACTCTGCTACCTGGCAGAAAATTCGTTCATTCAGCTTCGAAATTGTCTTTGAATGCGCAATTCATTGACACTCCCGCGTGTAACATTTCCAAAGCATCCGACACGGGAAAAGTACTGCAGAAATGCAAACCTATTGTTTGGGATGAATGCACAATGGCGCAAAAAAGCGCTCGAGGTCCCTGACCGAACGCTGCAGGATTTGCGAGGAAACAGCAGATCATTTCCGATGCACTGCTACTGCTTGCTGGAGACTTCAGGCCACCACTGCCTCGATCGACACCGGTGGACGAAATAAATGCCCGCCGTCACCACTTACTCCGGAATTCTCGAACGCGACTGGGTGCAGCAAACAATTGCCCTGCCTTTGACAGCGGCTAGATGGACAAGCCTGGGTTTCGCATACAATACGTACCGCCAACCAGTGGCCCTTACATTTTTCTTAATTGGGAACGTGTTCCTTCCTCTTTCCCTTACTCCCCAATTCATCAGATTGAGCCACAGCAACGTGTGGCGGGGTCCGGCTAGTAAACCTATAAAAATAGTCCGCGTTTTCCCCCACGCACTTTCTGCACCAAGAAACCCTTGAAGATCTACCGCCATGTTTGTTGGTGTCTGTATATTCTGCACACTGCGGAGTACATATTTTTCACTCGAAGATATCCCTCTTAGAGTGGAGCGTCTGTGTTGTTAGAGGGCATTATGCAGTCCTCGACCGGTCTAACGCATCTTGTGATATGCTTCAGCCAAAGGTGGACAGGGTGGTATTTGTTAACTTTTCGATTTGGAAGCAGGTATGGCATGTGCGTAAACACATTAGAAAAACATTGCCTGCCATCTACAAATAGGCCAAAACCCCGAAAATATCGATTAGGTGATTTGCGATACCGATAGCCAGGGAACAGGCTCTCCATAACTTTCTTGCTTTCCGTCCAGAACATCGTCAGTGATCCGCTGGAATCCGACTAAGAAGGGCTCATTGGTTCAGTAGCGTAATGTTCTTTTTAAATGTTCTTGCGAAGTGGAGTTACCTCTCAAGAGTTCATAAAGATTTCCCTTCTTTCAGCTTTCTTCTAAGCATGGGAGTTTTTGTCAAAGTCCACACTTAAAGTCAATATATTTCTGAAAAAATTCCTATATTGAGACGCTTTATATCACACGGAAATTTGATTTATCAAGCTGCTTTGACTGCAGGACAGGTAATGGTTGGCCGACGACTGTAAATAAGCCAGGAATGTTGAGGCATGTATGCATGCTGCTAGCTGCACATTTATTGATCCTGCTTCCAGCACATACCAGTCCTTTCTGCTTGATGCAGGCATTTTTTCAGTCCGGGACTTATCCTTTCTGTAATATGAAAAATTAAATGAAGGCAAGTTGTGGGAACGGGTTGGCCATTATAGGCTGGGAAATCATGTACAAAACTGACAAGACGCGCATTTCTGTACTCTTTAAATGCAGGCTGTTCACGACTTCAGACAGTTGTAATTTGAGAAAAGGTTACGTTCCCAAAGTAGTTGTAGGACAGGAAGTTCTTGTTACTGCACGCCGGGAAGTCTTATTATTTTTCTATAGTCTTTAAAGAGCTACCGAAGCGAACACTATTTCAGAAGTTGTTTTGCTTAATCGAGTTTCCTCAGATGACTGTAAGTATTGTCAACACATAAGAGGTACGCTTTCGTACAGTAGATCCCCTGAAATTAAGATTTATCTTTATATTACGATTGCAATTATACTTGATAATTGGCACCTAAGGAAAAATAATAGTCAGCCGATTATAATTTTCAGTGTCCAATAAAGTTCTGATATTAACACTGGCCTAATTTACGAGGTCCTTTGAAGAGATACGGTGGGGAATTTCACTAAGTTTACTCGATAGTTCGACCGTCGCTGCCGACGATGTCCAATGCGTGCTCCACAGCAAGGTGAGAGCAAGGGCAGCCACTTGAGCGTGAATTAGTTTATAGTGGTGGTAAACTTGCACAGCATCTACCGCACTCCATCCTCCTCCCCCGCCTGGACCAGGTGTCAAGACAGAGTCAAGAAGACCGGAGGCGGGGGAGAGCGCAGGTGGATGGCACGGTCGAGCCCGCACCTCGGCGCTCAACTCCACAGCCCCTGGTCCACACAGTGAATGAACAGGATTTTAACCAGCAGCAACAATGGGGAGGGTCGCAGAGGTCCAATGTGCGCGACTTCTGCCGATAATTGGGTCTGCAGCCGCATCCTGAAATGTTGGCATTTGTTATGGCGCGAAGTATGTCGGCAACTGGGTCTGCCACAGGTGCGCATTCCAAAAACGTCTGCCAGGTTCCGATATGGCCCCCGTGTTGGTCCAGCGCATCTACCGCGTGGCCCGTTTTGGGGCCACATTATGTTTACTCACAGTAATGATAAAAGCCAGTGCATGTGCCAAGATACATGATGTTTTTATTGTCCAACCAGACGTCACAACCTAAATTTCATCGATTTCGACTTTCTATTAGATAAGACTTTGCTCCAGATACTGCTGCTTCTGGGCGATGAACTAAAATGATATTCCTGCTAATTCCAAGTCTAGGCGTCGGCTTCCACCGTGTATATGAGAAGGAAACTATGGTCCAGCCTAGGCCCCAGACACCCCTCGCCGGCACGCACTTTGTCCAACAACAGAAGGCAAAGCAGCACCCCTCAGGCAGATGGAATCACTGCGATCTCATATTAGGGCTAGGGATGGCTTGACCCAACACAAGCCTATACCTAGCCATCGCTGGTTGGACGTCCTCAGGCTTGTTAAAACATTGCTGTTTTTTAGTTCATGCCCTTTCAAACATCTTTATACCAAATAATGGAGCGATTGAACACAGGGTTGTCAGAGAATCTGCATTTTAAAACATAGAAAGGCCAAACAAAAACGTTGGCGCAACCTACACAATCACCAGAGTGATTTTTTTCTCGAAAAACGGGATTTCACACTAACGACACGGATGCACGCTGTGAGAATCCCTCGGGGCACTAACGCAGCCCTCGGTACGGTGTGCACCGTACAGTCTAGAGACCATGCAGTAGAAAACCGTGAATCGATTCTTATTGGCTGAATCTCTTCGGGGATGGCCGGTTGCTAAAGTACCTAGTTGAGCATTACAAGTCGCCAGATCAAAGTTCACGTATTTTGGAGGATAACTAGTTTGTACACTCCGACTAGCTAGTACTTCAGTCAGTGGCCTGCGACATGTGCATGCATAAGTGTGATAAAACGAAGGTGACAATAAAGACTTGTGGCAACTCCAATGCATATCCGAGTGTTCAACGGAATTTTCCGTTCGAACAAAATACGAATTAAACAGCCAGTCAAAACAACAGGATGTATGTCAACATGGACAGCAAGCCGCATGCTGCACAGACGCTCCGTTGGGTGTCTGCGAATAGAAATGCGACACCGAGTCAAATTTACGGACTTAACGTGGCCGCCTAGATAAGCTTCATTTTATGATTAACTACACATGTTTTCCGGTAAACTAACATTTTGCAAAAAATACGCACCGAGAAAATTCTCCGCCTTGTTTACTTTCAGGTACTATTAAATTTACAGATGTGGAGTGAAGCGACGTACGCAGATGCGAGCAGCTGGCTAACTGATACCATTGGTGCAAAATAATTCCTCCTCCTCCTCCTCCTCCTCCTCCTCCTCCTCCCTCTCTCCCCTCTCTTTCTAATCACTACAAAAACTACTACTACCGCCACCACAAGTAGAATGGCACTTCTTGCGTTGAAAGAAAACGCAATGATCATTGGCTCATGAAATGTGTCGGGAGAACTATCGTAGCTCTGCGCGGGGTATTAACTACTACGTGTGGTACAGGAATACGATGCCTTTCACGCCGCACAGGGCATTGCGCTGAACTTCAGTACTAATTAATCACCATAATTAACCACCATAATTTTAGCACTAACCTTAACCCTAATCTCACTGGGATGTAGCGCAAAGCCATCTGTATTACGAGGGGTTCGTATTCACCCACCCTGCCTACTTTTTTCTATCCTTGTTTAAATATGACTCTGTTTAAGGATACCTGGAACATTTAGGCTGTTGATATCACCAAAATACCGGGAAATCAGTCGGTTGGATAATGACACGTATAGATGGCCCAACGGTCATTTTTTGGAAGGGTGGACATAAGCCAGGTTAGTCAAACCATTTTTATGCAGTCCGGACCCACGGTCGGTAGCATATAAATAGTTCAGAAGCGGGACCGAAAGTTGGGTTTACTCGGTACTTAATGAGCTCGACTGGATAAATCCTCCGTTCGGAAGTTGGGAAAATTTTATTGAGCGTGTTAATGTATATTGACAGGTATTGTTGAGGTTTTCCTGCTGCCAGTTAACTACGTAGCAGCTGCAAGCGGCTCACTCTCCTTGGAGGAGCCCGACGGCCCATTTGGCTGACTGAACCCGGTTCCACCGTTCGGTGTCTTCTCTGTCGTAGACGCCTCCCCGTTGGTGTCCCTGAGGAAACAGAGGACAACCATCTGGATAGTAATAATGCCAGCGTAAATGGTCAGTGGAAAGCCGTGTCTGACGCTGGAATCGAGGCGGTTTATTAGGGGGAACCAGAAAACACCAAGTCTAGCCAGACCGGCACACACCCCCAGTCCACGGTTCCTGTAGATAGGATTATACAGCTCAGGAACATAGACAAACACCATTCGCGACGCGGTGGCCAACAACATCGTAACAACAGCAATTAGGACGTTAAGTGCAATGTCGTTTTGGGGTTGCAGAATGAGTGTGTAGAGGGAAGCAATCCAGAGAAAAGTTGCTGTAACGAGGTAAATGACCAACAGTGGTCTCTTGCGAAAGCGAAAGTAACGATAAAGACCGGCGAAGAGCAGGGATCCCGGTATGGACGAGAGGGCGTTAATAATGAGCACATAGGAGGTGTAGAGACGAATGCTTGCCGAATAGAAGGCCAATCCGAACACACAGGTAATGTGTCCAGCAATGAGGATCGTACACAGTATAGTCGTAGCCGCCATTGTGCGATTAAATAGCTGAAAAACAGTGAACCTTCTCTTCCGCTTGGCGGAGGGCCTACACCTGGCATCATCCTCCTGCTCCTCCTCCGCCTCAGCCGACTTGTCCTTGACGGGTGAGTCAGGAACGCCAATCAGCGAGAAGAATTCCTTCTGACTAAGCAAGGGACTCCGATTGGACGCAGTGGAAAGCATATTCTTGACGCGTGTGTTTATTCGATAGCCCTGATACAGGACGCCTCCGGCATCATTGTATCGAGCACGGGCAATAAGCCATTTTGGAGACTCTGGCAGAACAAAGAACAGGATGAAGATAAGACTATTCATCACCACCAGTGATGCATTTAACCATCGCCAATTCGTGATGCACAGGGCTACAATCGCCAGAAAAACACGTTGAAGGCTCACATTGACAATGCCACAGACTGCAGAGAGTAGCGATCGATATTTGGCGGTCGTTATCTCAGTTATCAGAACTGTAAGAGCAGAGAAACGTGTTGTGACACAAATGGCGACGAGAATACGCAGAATGATGTACTGTGTGTGGTTGACACAGAAGCAGATCATTAATTCGATGACGAACTCCGCCACACCCGAGGCCAGGATGACACGTCTTCGACCGAATCGGTCTCCGAACCAGCCACCGACTAGGAAACCAATCAACATGCCCAACATGTAAATGCTCTCATTGAAAGGTACCTCCCAGGCGCGGTCGCAGACGAGGTCCCATTCCTCCACAAGACCACCGGGAAATTGGTACCAGTCATATTCGTAGACAAAACCAAAGGGACACTTCTCTCGCTCCAGTGCCAGAGTCTGGTTCTGGTACTGAAGCAGCCTTTCAATGGTTGAATTTTGCAGTCGATCAACAGTGTATACCTCACAGGCGCTAACAGAATTCGAGTGGGACAACTTTGGTCCAAACAATTCTGCGATGCTGCGTATATTCCAGCCTGTGACATCGGTGGGCGTAATCGTAGTTTTGAGCAGCCAGGCCTCTACCTGCGGCTCTAGTCGACAGCGGTGTTTGGGAAAGGAATTGTTAAAGACAGATATGATGGCTGCGCCGGGAATTGAGAGTGCGGTAAGGATTACGGCAAAAAATTGCCAAAATCCAGCAGGCTGTACGATGCCGGCCAGGGCCTCATCCACTTTAAGGTCATCCATGGGGCAAGGCGGCTGGAAGCCTGTATGAATAGCGTCCTGTCAGCTGCACAATAAAGCTTTGTGTCTCACAATTGCGACACAAGCCACCTTTTTGTCACGGCCTTTACTCGGCGTCTCGCGATTGGCCAGTTACTCTGAAGGCCATTCTTCGCTGCCCCAAACGGCCAATGCCGCCACGCCCTCTCTACACCACCGTCAAATTGAATCTTCGCACGCGCTGGCGAAAGACTGCAGCGCGCTTTTTTCAATCCCTGCATCAGAGGTTAGAAGTAGGAACGCTTCTTTGATATAACCAGAAGCAGGTGCCAACGCGCTGAAGAAAACTTGAAGCTCTGTTGCGCCGTGGGCTGAAGGAGGAAAATCATATGCGGGGCCGTTGAAAATGCCGATTGAGAAAGTGGGTGTGATAACAGGTGAAGATCTTTTCCAGTAAATTTTAACATGAATTTTAGCAGTTTCCATCGCCTTCAAGACTGTCAATGACTGCAATCCGAGCGAATAATTTGCAGACAGAGTCATTACTTCAGTTTAGGATGCGTTGCAACCTGCCACAGCTGCGGACTCTGGATATTTAGGATACAAAGACGGAGCAATTAGTGAGAATTACGCTCTAGTCAAACTTCTGTGAAGTCAAGAACTTTTTGGAGGCTTTGAAATTCTGGAGTCAAAAAAGATGGAAAGCACTTAAAAATTTCCACAAATTTTACTCAGCCAAAATACCCAAATTTATTAGGAGCTGAGAGAAAGCATCTTGGGAGTTCATGC